CTCATTGATTTGCAAGCAAATGACTTGTTGAAAGAAAAGCACAGAGAAGGAAAACTTGTTGAATTTTATCTCTGCTTACCTGATGATGAGTTTCAAAGTTGAAGAAATTTGCCTCTAACAATGTATTTAATTTCCAGAGTTGATAGAGGTTACTTATTCATGTACATATCAATCCACCTAATCATGTAATCCACCAGAAGTTAGGCACTCTGAAAAGCCTCCTAAATTTAGCATACCTTATATGCACCACAGAAAACATCAATAAAGAAGTAGCACACTTAACTCAATGCTTTACTAATGTTAACCAGTTCCCTACTATATTAGTTACAGGAACTATTAACAAATATAAAAAATACAGACAAGAGGCATTTAACAAACGAACAAACTCAAACACTCCACAAAACAAAGGTAACCTAATTACTTGCACCATCCCATATATATAGAAAATATTAGCTTGCCTCTATCAGAAATTTTGAAAAGACTAGCACATAAATATAACCTTAACATAATGCCTAGATTCGTTTTCACCCCTGGAATGAAAATTAAACACGTGTTAAAAAAAATTATATAACAAACCCACCCCACCAGGAAACATTTACAAAATATAGTGTAACAGTTGCCTAGCCTTTTACCTAGGTGAAACAGGACATAACTTGATGATCAGGTTAAAAGAACACCAAAAAACCCCCACCCAAGTCCAGGAGAATATAAATAAAAAACAAACAGTTTTTCTGAACAGAATGTCACAGTACTAAAACATGAGCCCAACAGAAGAAAAATCTGAGAAGCTTTATTAATAAAATTAAACAATCCCACAATTAACAAATACCCAGGTTCATCTCTATATATCTTTGATTGTTATTTCCCCACAAATTCCTAATTTTAGGCAAATATTTTGCCTAAAATATTTCATAGTTTTTTTTATTTGGTTTATTTATCCATAGATAAATAATCTGTAAAAAAATCACGTGAATTGATATGTAAATGAATAAGTAACCGCTCTAACAATTCTGGAATTTAAATACATTGTTAGATTGTTGAATGTTAATTTCAATTCTAAAACGTTCTTTTCTGTTAAAACTTATGGACTTGAAAATGATTGCACCAGTGATCAAAATGTCATACCTGTTCTAAAAAAAAACTAACTGTAAATTGTAATAAAATATACTAAATAACATTTTACAGTATTTACCTCACTGCATTGATACAATAAATATTAGTAGATATTTCAGTTCCATTATATTTATTCATTGCTTGATTATTTTTTGAGGGCACAGGTTGGCCCTGGGATAAAGCTCTGGT